ACTACTTCTCACGCAAATCAAGTGGATTTGGAAGCAAAGTTTTAAACTGAGGAAATGTTGATATTCATGTTTAATTTGGTCTGTACTGATCTGATACTGCCAATTATTTTTCCCATTTGTTTTATTTTGTCAGAGTAATGATACCATTGTAATTAGCTAGTTATTAATAATAGGAAAGAAGCAAAGGGGGAAGCCAGATATTATAAGCATGTCATTTGGGCAGCTTCACCAGGAAGCTGCAACTTTGCACTCCCCAAGGAGCCCCCATTCTATTCACTGCAAAACACTGGGAGAAGGGATCCAAACAAAGGGAAGATAGATTCATGCCCCATAAAGTTGGGGTAACATAGGGAAGGTACTTGCCTGTCAGTCAAACTTGGGGACAGGGATGGTTGGCCAGAAAGGGTGTGGCCACTGCAAGTGCAGGAAAATTTGGGACAACATTATCTCCTAAACAAAGGAGTTCACTCCCTTGTTGCTCTTGACATGCTTGACTTGTGACTCTTATTTCTCTTGTGCTTTGGCTCACTCTTGATTTCTTTGCATTTGCCTGTGTTTTCTCCATAGCCACATGGCCCTGTGGACCCCACATGTAATCAACTAAGGACTGCAGTTAGGAACACAAGCTAAGCTAGCCTGATGCTAGACTGGACATTGCTCCAACATAGAAAGGAAACTCTGGATACTGACTCTGATTTTCGCTCTGCTGAAACTAAAGCTATACTTTTTCTATAACTGTACCGAAGGAAATGGGACTTTGTAAACTCAGGGATTTGATTCCACAGAAATAAAATTTCCTATAATATGACATCCTCCCATTCAAGTCTCAAAAATTCTTTTTCTTGGGATAGTGCAAGAATTTCACCCCCATAAGCAACTGGAGGAGATGAGCCCTCTCCCCTCTGTTAACAGTAGTATGTACTATTTTTATATAAATGCATTAAATTGCATTTAAACTTTAATTCTACTTATACAGCAATTTCTACATTCCAGACATTGTTCTAAGTTCTAAATTGATACAAGTATCAATTTATTGCATCCACATATCAACCTTCTGAAGAAGGTTCTGTTTTTATCATGTCCTTTACATAGATGGAAAATTTAAGTCTCCTTGAAGGGAAAAATAAGACATTTGGGGGGCTAGCTTTCTGAATCTGTGCTAGCAACCTGCCTTCTGACATACACCCTTGCTTGCTGATAACCATACACTTTTGCTTGCCGATAAACTCCATTCTTATCAAACTTCCTTCTTATCTGTGATGCCTACCCTGCCTTTCAGAACCTGTTTACCGGAATACTCCCATTTTACAGAGGCCATAAACCATGAACCATATAGAATCCCCGGAGGGGCTGGTGCCAGTGCCTCTGGGTGTAATCTTACTTCCCCCATCCCAACTCACGAGAGTCTGCAAAGCCCATGAAGGGTCCAGAAGCCTGATCCGTATTTTGGGGACAAAGAAACTAAGAGTATAAAGGGAAAGCTTCATCCATATTCATCACTCAGGATTTGAAGACTGATTCACCTGAGTCACGGCACCAGTGCAATCTGCAATAAAGGCAACGTTTCTGAATATCCTCCTGAGTGCCCAGCTGATTAATTCTCCCACACCACCTGGCAGCTTATCTGCAACATCCTGGGGGTTAGAAAATGTCCCCAGGGTCATATTCTGGCAGTCTCAATTTTATTTTATTTCTCTGGAAAATATTCTACTTTAATATTAGTTGAGTAATTTAATATTTTAGTTTTTGTGTACTTTTAAGAGTATATGATTGAAGTTTACTACCATAACAAAATCTAAGACTTTGTTCTGTAGTAAGTAAATTTAACCCATTGTATGTATTGTTATAATTTTTTGTATTCTGTTGTCACACCCTATACCTTCTGATTTTTATTTTCCCTGTTGTTATTCTCTATTTTTTCCACATATTCAAAATATCTTATTTACTGTTCTATTCTCATATAATCTTATTTTAGCCATCAGTATTTACTTTCAACTTTTCAAGAGGATCTTAGCTTAATTCTCTGATGTTCAAAGTTACTAAGAAAGCCTATACATTGACTCCGTAATCTGTGGAATAGAATTTTAGTAGCATTTCATTTGCTTTTCTGTGCTTTCTCCCCTTTCTGTTCCTTGAAAATATTTTGTGAAATATGAAACATGCTATTTCTATTTACCTCATTTAGTTGTATACATGTGTACATACTTTCTTTTTCAGTAATCATCTTTGTCATTTTATGTCAGCAATGATCTAAACTGTCTGTTTTAATACTAAATATCAATTGTTAAATATCATGTCTCCCAAATAATAAGCACATAAGTATCTATATCTTCCCAAAGCTGAAAAAAATCCACACACTTATGATGTTTCAGGAAAAAATATGACAAAATGCACAGCCAAACACATCCTAAAAGAACCCAAAAGCAAGGATAAGTGATGGTTCTATGAAGATTCGAACTGAAGAACAAAATCAAACCTGCTTCCAGACTTCTCCGTAAAAGTAAATGCCAGATCACAAGTGTTTGGAAGGAAAATGCTGTGGTTTACACGTTATTCCAAGTTGACTTTGTTGTGATGCAGGGAACAGGAATACATTGTCAAATGTGCTCTGGTGTCCCTCCTCAGTGATAGTCTGGCTTGAGTCAAACTCTTCCACCCTCTTCCTTGGGGACACTTAGCTCCAGGTTGATCTCCACTCCCAGTAGCTGGGGAAGGGGGAGGAGAACAGGGTTGAGCTCTTTCTTGCTATGTGTGTAGATCAGTGCACCTGACCCCAACACATCTGCAAGCCACCGCTGCCATTCGTGTTGTGCAGATAGAAAAGTGAGGTCCAGAGAGACCAGGTCAGCTGCAGAAAGCCGGATCAAGCACGTAGACCCATTGATAAAGACAGAGGTGATTCCAGGTCTGCAAGTAGAGAGTAGAAACGGCTCCCCTTCAGGACTGGTATTTAGGAATTCACTATGTGGTTCTCCTGGCAACTAACCAACAGCCGAGGGTGCAAAGCCAACTCATTAGCATTACAAAAGACACCTTTAATGCTCTCAGCACTTGGGAAATTCCAAGGGTTTTAGGAGCCCTGTGCCACAACTAGAAGACCCTGTGTGCGAGCGCGCGCGCGCGCGCGTGTGTGTGTGTGTGTGTGTGTGTGTGTGTGTGTGTGTGTGTGTGTATCTTATTATAAGTCACAGATCACATTATTGCACTGTGTTCTTGGCAGTTCTGGTTACACCCAGTGTACCAGTTTCCTTCATCTCAGCTCCCAACCCAGACCCCCAGGCTGGAGTTTGCCTTTGGTCTGTGTGATCTAGAGGCATTCCAGGTGTGGGATGAACATTGAATTCAGTGAACAGCTAAAGGAACTGGAAAAACGCTCACTATTGTAAAAAATATTGTTTCTTTCCTCACAATGGAAAGAGAGTCATATTGGTATTACTAAAAAAAAAAAAAATTAAATTGAATCCTTTTAGGCCAGCCATTCTTCTTTTGTTGCATCTGTTTAAACATAGGGAGCCCCTAAGTGTCTTCATGTCAGACTTGGGGAATCTGACTCCCTGCAGGCTATATTTGAGCTAATTAGAGATCATTAGAGATCCCCACTTACTGAGCATGCAGTGCTCCCTACTCACTCAGGACAAAGGGAAACTCTGCCCCTTTGTGAGACCCTTGGCTATACTGAATATGAGCCACAAAGACCAGAGAGCTGCAGGAGGTAACTGCTCAGAAAGACGAAGAGCAACCAGTGGAGCAAAGTGGTCACTAGCCCTAACCGGTGTACTCATGCACAAGCTCATACACATGCACAAATGTGCACACACAGGGGGCATTGACATACATAGGTGCACACCAAGTGCATGTACACAGCGTTCACAATGAAACGTACACATACGCATGTATACACACTAGCTGTGGAGAGATGCAGAACCAGGGTTGGGATAGTTGCCAGGTCTGTGGCCGCCCTCCTGACCCTCCTTGGGATCCAAAGGCTGCACCCAGAAGCCCCTGCACAGGCAGTCCCAGCCCAGGCCAGTGGAGGGCAGCCTAAGCCCCGGGGACCAGGAGCGCAGCTACATCCCCGGGCAAATGGCCCGGAAGTGGGAGCTTCTTCCACCTCCAGGTCACCCATCACCTCACAAGCCCCAGAGCAACGCACATACACATAGATCCACGGGTTCCCCAGAAGGTTCGGGCACCCCAGACCACACCCCATCTTCTCCATCAGGCAGGAGGGCGGACCCAGCAGGGCCCCAGCGAGTCCAGCCTCACTCCAACCAGCAGGTGTCTGCGCCTTCCACTGCGCAGGCAAAGCCCTCGGGAAGGGGGTCCAGGGAAGCTGTGCGCACAGCTAAGCACGGCCAGGCCGGTAGACAAACAGTAGGTCTGGAGGGCAACGGGCAGGCCATTCAACCTGCTCACTGCCCAGCGTCTCCAGGCCCCTCTCCACCCTCCCGAGCACGGGGCGCCCTTTGGGGAATCCGACTTCGGACAGGCGAGCATCCCGATCCTCCCAGTCCTCAATGCTCCCTTCCCCACCCCCTTTCCCCCTGCCTCTTCCCTCCCCTTCTTTTCTGCCCTCCTGCCCTCCTCCTTCTCTCTCCGCTCCTCTCCAACTCCCTTTTCTCCCCCCTCTGCTCCCCTCCTCCGTCCTCTTCGCTTCTCCCTCCCCTCCCCTGTCCTCTCCCGCCTTCCTTCCAACACCCTCCCCCATTCTCCCACGATGCGGGCGGGTGCTCCGCACCGCCCCC